TTAACTGGTCTCCTGATGAAGGACGTCGAATTCCTTTTTAATGAAAAATGTCTGGAAGCATTCAATATCTTGAAACGAGCACTAATCTTCCCACCTATTATGCAACCACCATATTGGAATAAACCATTCAAGATTATGTGCGATGCAAGTGATTTCATAGTCGGTGTTATTTTAGGACAACAAACAGATAAGAGAATACATTTGATATATTATGCAAGCCGAACTTTGGATGAAGCTCAATTAAACTATGCCACTACGGAAAATGAACTCCTAGTTGTAGTATTTGCAATAGACAAATTTTGTTCCTATTTAGTTGGAGCCAAGATCATCGTATATACCGATCATGTCGCCATACGATACCTTCTACGAAAAAGGATGTGAAGCCCGGACTACTTTTCTAGATCCTTTTCTTACAAGAATTCGATTTGGAAATTTGTAAAAAGAAAGGGATCGAAAATTTGGTAGTTGACCACCTTTCGAGACTCGAATACCTAAAATCGGACCATATCCCCATTATTGATGATTTCATTTACGATAGAACAATAGCATCAGTAAAGGATATGACAGATCACGAGGACAATGAGTCAGGACAAAATATTAGAACTGCCTTAATGGTAACTAGTGTGCCTTAGTACGCTGATTTCATTAACTATCTAGTAGTCGATATTCTCCCCCTGATCTGACCTGTCAACAGGGGAAAAAGTTTTTCCATGATATAAAACAATTATATTGGGATGAACTCCTCCTTTTCAAAAGAGGAGCAGACGGATTATATCACCGATGTGTTCTTGGAGAGGAAGTAGAAAGCATTATAGCTCATTGCCACGCTGCACCTTATAGCGGCCATGCAAGCACATCTAAAACTTGCACAAAAATCATTTAAGAAGGCCTATATTGTTCAACCCTTTGGCGCAATATTCATGCTTTCATAATCAAATGTGATCGGTGCCAGTGCACTGGAAACATTTCGAGACACGATGAGATGCTCCTTAGGAATATTCAAGAAGTAGAGGTCTTTGATGTCTAGGGAATTGACTTCATGGATCCATTTCCATCGTCCATGGGAAATATATTTTATATATATATATATATATATATATATATATATATATATATATATATATATATATATATATATATATATATATATATATATATATATATATATATATATATATATATATATATATATATATATATATATATATATATATATATATATATATATATATATATATATATATATATATATATATATATATATATATATATATATATATATATATATATATATATATATATATATATATATATATTAGTTGTTATCGACTATGTGTCTAAATGGATCGAGGTTGTTGCCTCACCTACAAATGATGCATGAGTAGTTATCAAGTTGTTTACGAACTATATATTCCCAAGATTCAGAATCCCTCGCCTCGTCATAAGCGATGGTGGATCTCATTTCATATCAAGGAATTTTGAGAGTCTCTTAGCAAAATATGGCGTGAAACATAAGGTAGCAACACCTTATCATCATACCAATGGACAAGTTGAAATGACTAATAGGGAAATAAAACATATCCTAGAGAAATTTTTCATCATCTATAGAAATGATTGGTCCTCTAGACTTCAAAATGCATTGTGGGCTTATAGGATTGCCTATAAGACCACTATAGGGATAACCCCATTTAAATTGGTCTACGCAAAATCATGTCACCTACCTTTCGAACTAAAACATAAAGTCTATTGGGCCATAAAAACCCTGAACATGGATTATTTAACAATTAGTCACAAGTGTATATTAGACATCCATGAGTTAGAAGAAATTCGGCGTGATGCTTACGAGAATGCTATAATTTATAAAGAACAAACTAAAGCATGGCATGATAAGCGGGTCGTGAGAAGAGATTTTACTATAGATGGCCCAATACTTTTATTCAACTCCAGATTACGACTCTTCCTAGGTAAATTATGTTCCATATGGTCTGGACCATTTGAAGTGACAAGAGTCATGCAATCTGGTGCAGTTGAGATTTGAAATCAGTCAACCAGTCTTTTCATTGTAAGTGGACAGCGATTGAAACACTACAGCAGTGGTGATTAACCAACTACCTATGATCGCCATACTTTGATTGAACCAGCTCCTATTACTACTTCAGCCTGATCCTCGCACCCGTCGACCTACCGACTTTAAACAAAGTGTTGTGTGGGAGGCAACCTAAGATTTTCTTTTCATTCTATCAATAAACGGTTTAATTTCATATTCTAGTTAATAAATTTCTAACTTGTGTGTATTTTCTTATCAGGGTCATTGTATTCTACTTAGCCAGATTTTATCCACTAATATTATTTCAAGATGCAGACAGTTGATGATATGAAAATTATTTTTAGAAACTGATCCAAGAGAAGGCGCTATGAAGTCTTGGCAGAAAGAACCATTTCACCAACCAGATACCATGACTTCCTTAGCTTATTAGCTTTAAGACTTGCTAACAGTATACGTTATATGTTTAACCAGATCAGTTGGGATCGTTTCTCTGTGCATAAATACCCAACCTATAAGAACCTGGCCTTGGAATTCCTCAATTCTTACCATTATAGCCCTCGCGTAGGAATCGACCAAGTCAGAAACCTATCTAATTTTCGACTCTTTAGGAAAGAGTACCAACTCATGCATGATGAGCTAGCCAGACTTTTAACATTTCAGTATGGACCCCAAGCTTCCACTGAGGTACCACTAGGTGACGATATGCAATGGGAACTAGATTTTTTTAGGGAAGCATTACTGAGGATTATCCCCCTGATTATGAAAGGATAAACCCACCTTTTATCCACAACCTTGCCATCAGATATTTTCAGACGGTTGCAACCCAAACTTTCTTCGAGAAAGCTGTGAACATTGGACCAGTGAGTAAGGAAGAAATATTATTTATGTTAAGTATTTTCCAGTTCCGCCTGATTCACTTTACTGCCTTTTCGATGGAAAATTTAGCAAAAGTTACCAACCATGTTATTGAGGATATATATGCCAGTGGTCTAGTCACCCATATTGCCATTGCTTTAGGGCTTTACAATCAGGTCGCTCACCTAGTCCTATTATGTGGCTATGATCTACTAGATATCGATCATTATTTCAACTATAGTTTAGTGAGGCGTGAAGGACCTGACTGTCATACCTCAAATTTGTCCGCTCTATTCTAACAGTCAAATTATTTTTAAAACTTGGGCTTTATAAGATTTTTTGTTTATTTATACTAATATTTTAATGTTAATTTATTTTGCTTATTTAAAAATATATAATAGTTTACTTTGAATTATTTGTATTTTTTAAATAACAAATATTTGTTGGACCTTCATATGCTTTCAAGTGCCTTTTTAGTTTGAATAAATGAGATATCACAGTTGATAAAGAGATAAGGCTTACAAGTATAAGGTCGTGGATTCGAGTCTTACTTGTTTTAATTTTTTTTTTTTGACATTTTTTCTTTTATTTGTTACTAACTTTATTTCTATTTTCAGAATCACAAAATTGCATTTTTATTATTATTTTAACTTCAATTTTCATTTTTATTTTAAAGCATTTTTTAAAAATAACTATTTATTTGTTTTTATGCACTTTTTACCAAAAATGTGTGTAAACATTATAATAAATACCAAAAATATTTCCTTTTTTGGTTAATTGTTTTTCATCGGTCAATTTGTGTCATATTCAACTTCTGAGTGGTTAGCTTGTTGATCAAGATAGATCTGATTTATTCAATTCAATTCTATTCCATTTTTACCCTTTAACTTGATTTTTCCAGTCTATAAATAGGACTCTATTTTCATAGTTTTAGGCATTAACAAACACCCACAGTTTCCCAATCACCCTCATACACTTCACTTTTGTGCAAATTTCTTTCTTTCCAAAATTTTCTTTTCATTACTATTGGTGATATTTTTATTTTGGCCGATGATTCAAATATGGGGTCTTCCTCTTATTTTCAATTTCTTTTAATTTTATTTTGCTTGTTTTTTTTCCAACCAGATGATGAATGTTCTGATGGTTCTTTTTTAAATCAACAATCATCCACGAAATCCATGAAATCAACGATTTTCTACTTCTCTCACACTTTCTTTCAAAAAAACTCTTTCAAACATCCTTTTAGCTTTACTTTTGTAATTTCTTTTCAAAAACATCTTTTCAAAACTATTTATTTATTTTTTCTTTGACCAATGATTAAAACTTCCATATAAGACTTACATTTTATTTTCAAATTTATCTGATATTTAAACTATATAATAACAATATCTGATGGTTCTTTTCTTAAATTAATTAATTATGTTATTCTTAATAATCTGTACACAATTTCAATGCACAACTTTTCCTTTCAATCTTGTTTGCACATAAATTTCTAATACAAATATACTATTTTGAATATTATTCAAAACCCATATTTTTTAGTCAAAATAAAAATCTCAGACACATATTCATAATCAGTCTATCAAAGGAAATTTGTTTTAGCAATTACGAAAAATTCTGATAATGAAAAGAAGTTTTTCACTACACAACAATAGCCACGGAAATATCCATGTTCTAACAACTTTTCATACTTTTTTACACCTGCATGTTCACTAACAATTCTCAACCTTACAAATCTGAAATAACACTATCATCATCTCCTACCTTTCACAGACAAATTCAAACCATTAGTCCAAAAAAAAACCTTGTGCATTTTCAATTTTTACATAACCTGCAAACATTGTAGAGACTTAACAATTACATAGTATTATTCACCAATCACCCTCAATACAACATAATCACGACAAGTTGATTTCTTATAAATTCATGCTAACAATCAAGTTGGAATTGTACAAGAATTTTGTTAATACAGGTTAGTAACAACAACAATTTCAAATTGAAAGAGAAGCAACGGAGTTGTAATTACAAATCCTCCATACACCACATCAACTGACGCGAAGCCTTCGATCCACTCACACGCTCCAGATCGTGCTGCTACATGCGCCAACAACCGTGCGAAGACCTTTACGTGACGAACTTCCACGACGACCACACCTCCCCCGTCACCGTTGAATTCGCGCCGCCCTCCAACTCCGGCGAGATCCTCTGGCGCGTCTTCCGACGCTCACGATCTCTTTCGTCGTCCATTCAACAACCACTCAGCCGCAAGTATGTTTCGATTCCATTTATTTTTATGTTGGTTCTTGAATGAGTGTTGGACTTGTTGATTGGATTAAGAGTAAAAAGATAGAAAGTGTTAGTGAAAATTTTTATAAACATACCATACCACTCTTTTATAAACTATTCATTAAAATATCATCTTTTTCATACTAATTCCTAAACTACCATGTTTTAAAATAAAAAAATTTATTACTCTGTCTATCGTTTCGACGGTTCTGTATTATTTTTTTTTAAAATTTTTTATATTTATATGTGAATTTACTGCAGATTTTTCTATAAATTTTTCTGTAAATTTATAATATATAATATTCTATAGAATTACCTGCGAATTCTTCAGATATATTATAAAATTTACAGATAATTTTATAAGAGTATTATATATTAAAGAATCTGTAGGAAAATCAACAGAAAAATTTACAATTAAATTCACAGATAAATAAAAAATATTTTAAAAGATATAACACAAACTGGCAAAGTAATGGGCGGCTCCTCAATAATAATTTCTTTATTTTAGTAGTTTGAAATTTAGTGAAAAAAAATAGTATTTTAGTGAATAATTTAGAAAAAGGTGATATGTTCGTAAAAAATTTGTGTTATTGTTGTTTTTAAATTTGTTGCAGTAAAGAAAAGTAGTTATTCTATTTTTATGAAAGAGATTATCATTTTTTTAGATGTAATATATAAAGTTTCTCAGGATATTGAGAGCTTTTTATCTTTGTTAGTTTTATTTAGTTTTAATGGATTACTTTAGCTTTATTAAGTTTCCCGGGATATTGAGAGCTTTTTATCTTTATTGGTTTTATTTAGTATTAGTGGATTACTTTAGCTTTATTAGCTTTTATTTAAGTTACTTAATTTTAGTATTATTTATAAATATAAAACATCGAAAATATAAAATGAATACTTATTTTCTTTAGTCTTTAGAAATAATCTAATTTTAGGATTAGTTTGGTTATTAGTTTTTTAAAATTAATTTAGGCTATTAATCTTATTATTATTAAAGTCACATGTACATATTCTAAATATTCATCACTTGCACGTAACAATATCACTAAATTTGTATATATTCAAATATTTTTTATTTAAATTAATTTAAATATCTTTTCAAATAAAAGAATATACATCCTCGAGTAATTAAGTGGTTGGCTCAACGCCTTATCAATTAATTATTCAAATCAAAACTTTTAAAAATCACCAACATATCAAACGAATTTATTCTCTCTGTGCGATTTAATTCTAACAAGGATCAACTCCTTATAAAATTAATTTCTTCGCCTAACGTGATTTAATTCCAACGAAAATCAACTCTTCTTCAATCCATCAAAATCTACTTAAAATAGCTAACTAACAAAAAACCATTTTTTACTAACATAATCAAACCCAAATATTTTCGATAAAGGATTATGCGGTTTCTTTCTACTTGGATATAAAACTTCGCCTACCATCACTCAATTTTCAAACTCAGACAAATTCAAAATCATTCGAAAGCGACTTAATACAATCCTATAAAAAACACCAGTCGAATAACTTCGAACTACGAAAGACTCTGATTTCTTCTTAAGAGGATACATAGGCACACAGTTGCAAAACCAAGGCGAGTTCACTAACTAAAAAACTAAATTTTACCTTGTTCTTATTTATGATTAAGTAAAAAAATAGTCCTCATAAGTTCTAGAGCTAAAAAGGATCCCCTTGAGTACAAGAGAGGTAAAGGGTGTCTAACACATTCTCTTTATCTAATCAACTTGCAAATCCACTAATCTATGAAACAAGTAGGGTTTTTCGTTCATTTCCCTTCATTAGGACAAAAAGTAATGGTGACGACTCTCGTATTTTTTATCGGTTACGACACTAGCCAGTTTAAATTACTCATTAACTATGAAGTGTTCCAATTTTTCACCCTACCTAACCAGAAGTTCACTAGTGTCCATGACCATAAAAACTGGTATTACCAATTGGAAAACCAAAATGAAAACCTATCACCACCTAAGACCCCCCCCGACTCCCGAATATCACCATACTCCTTATCCAGATATGCCTCCATGTCCTCCAATCCTACAGAGAGGCGTCGGGTTGACTATGAGCTCAATTATTTAAGAAGAGAAGTCATGGCCCATCGACATGACCCGCGAGAACAAGCTGACAGACTGAACGAACAGATGGACCATCTCTTCCAAGAGATTTACTCATTAAGGAGAGCTCAAGGCTATTATGGCCCCTGATCTTATTGCACATCGGGTTCATTCCTTCCTTTCTCACCTTGGATTGAAACATTGAGGATAATGTTTGATTTAAATGTGGGAGAGGAACTTTACTTTCTTTTTAGTTAGATTTCATGTTTTCTTTATTATTTTCTTTATTGCCTTCTAATATTTCTTTTGTTTAGTTTTAGCTTGTTTTATCGAGTCACTGCATGTACTGTCGAGTCTTTAAATGTTGTTTTTGTTGTTTATTAAATATTTTCCTTTTCTTAAGCCATATCAAAAAATTTTGCAAAAATAAATAGTGTTTTTTTTTATTTACGGGCTATTAGACAAGCTTAGGACATGTTATAGAAAGTATGGGAGAATTCTTGACATCAGGTTAGGTTGAATTCAAGTTGGGAAGAGAAAAATGAGGTGTAAAAGAATTGTGAAAAAAAGAGAAACATTGAAAAGAAGAGCTCTAAAAAGATAGAAATAAGGCAACATGCCAATAAAAAGATCTCAAGGTTGTATTGTTGCTTCAAATAAAAAAGAACAAGTGGGTAAAAAGGTATGAATTGTGTAATAATGTGGGATGTGAATAATCTCATAGGATTGGGCAATTTAGCTTCAATGTCTTTGATAAATGACCCTTCATTCTAACCCAAGCCAAGATACAACCTTTGCAAGGCCTTGTGATTCTCACTTTTGCACTGTTGATGCTTTGTGTGTGATGAATGCATGATTTGATCTGGATGTTAACATGATTGTTCGATGAGTGAAAAAACCCTCATATTTGTTTCTCATCCATTGATGAGTGTGTGGTTAGGTGTGATTCATGTTTGAGTTGTATTGTTTTGGAATTTTTTATATGTATTGTGCACTTAACAATTGTTTCATGTTCATGGTTTGTTTTAGAATCATTGTAAGTCTTATCTTGTTTGTTCTTGTCAATTTGGAGCATGAAATTGTCTTGTGTTAAAAACTTGTTGTTTTCTCATTCTTGTGGTTTGTTTTGGTTTCATTTTGGTTTGAAAAACTTTTGCTTAGGGACAAAAAAAATTATAAGTTGGGGAGAGTTGTTAAGGACCAAAATGTTGATATATTTGTTAGTAATTTTGTGGTCCTTTACACTCTATTTTGTTAATTAGTATTGTTTAGGCTTTCAAATTAGTGTAAATAAATAACCCTTGGCTTATGTTTGTAATTAGTTTGGTTTGCTTACTTTTGTGCTCATTCTTGTAAGTATCATGACTTTGTGAGAAGCTTTGGAGCATTAGACAAGCATGGATCAAGCAAGGCATTACTCAAAAGTCAATTTTGGAGATATTTTGATTTGGCATAAGCTATGTTTTTTAGCCCACTAAGTTGTCTCAGCCCGCTTAGCGTGATCCCCTGTACAAACCAAGATATTTTTGCAAATCACGCTAAGCGCGGTCAGCCCACTTAGCGCGACGTTACTTTTTGGTACTTGTATAAGTGGTTGTTGAAGATATTTTTCTGATCATTCTACTTTCTCCAAACACCCAAAACCGTACCTTTAGGTCAAAAGCTAATTTTCTTCATTTATAACTCAAATCCAAAGCTTTCAAGCTTCAATCTTTGATCCTTTCAAGTTTGATGCTTCTAAAGCTTTGTCTTTTACGTGTTTCTCAAGCTACCATGGTTATGGGTAGCTAAATCCTTCCTTGTGTCAAGATTAGAGGTAATTAAACTTCTTTTTTTGTATGTGTTTTCTTTGATACTTTGTAATTGAACAAGTTAATGATTAATATATGGCGAATATCTTTTCTTTTTATGCCATATGTTAGATTTGGATCATTATTCACAACTATGTTTCAACTATTGACCTAAGTTTTCATCTATCAATAACCAAATTCTAGAATAATTTTGAGAGTTGATATTCACTTGTATTAAGATTTCAAAGTTACCATATTGATAGTTAGTTTGAGATATCGTTTAAGGATCAATATGATAAAACTCACAATAATGTTTTAGAGATAAAATGTATTGTAAGGATATGTTTTTATATTGATTATTGATATGTTCACATGCTTTATTAAGAGAATATATACGGACTAGGTTAATAAACCCTAATCTTGATATGCTTTTACAAATCATTTTAAAAATCTAAACTCTTTTTACCGTCATTCATCATTTTTCATGAAATTGTTACATTGTGAAACTAAAACTGTAATACGCTGGAAGAACTGATTTTACTGGTTTTGCATTTTATCACAAATGTTGCGGTTAGCAAGAGTCTCCACCGACTTTTCTTTTATCCAACAACGGAAAGGATGAAAAGAACAGGAAATACTTTTTTTAAAGATTTTGAGTTCGGGCGGTAGGTTATGAAAAGAGAAGGTATTAGCACCCTTCCATCCGTAGTTATCTACGGGCTCTTAGTTGCTAACTCACTTTTGAAAATGCTTTGTGTTCATGTGTTTTGAAAACATTTATGAAAAGATGACTTAGTGCGGAGAACTTTGTAATGTTTCTCCTATCATTGAGAACGTATACAAAGTGCTTTGTCTTTAAAAATATTTTAGAGAAAAGTTTGTGCATGTGTAAAAAATTGTTTTATTTGTTTTTGTGAGCAAGCATCTATGAACTGTCTACCTACTTGAACGGTCTTTGTTCTTTTCCTCTTTTCCTTTAGATAGTGTTATCCTACTATTAGTCAGTAGGTAGCCCTGTCGTTGGATGTTTTGAGGTAAAAGCGCAGGTCATTGTACAGTCATAAAGGCAACTCATAGGGAACTTTAGCAATTTTATCGTAAGGGACTAGATCGTTTACCGAAGGCAGCATCGGAGGGTCATCGAGGGACTACGATCTTTTTAACCGAGGCTCTTTTCTAAAGTGTCTCACGTTCGAGGGACATGACTGTTTGTTTTTTCAAAGGTAACAAGTGAAAGTACTTTAGAGGTGTGTGTGTGTGTGTGTGTGTGTGTGTGTGTGTGTGTGTGTGTGTGTGTGTGTGTGTGTGTGTGTGTGTGTGTGTGTGTGTGTGTGTGTGTGTGCACGCGAGTGTGTTGTGTTTCAATTAAATTTATCTTTGAATATTAGGTTTGCTAACATTTGTTTTTAAGTCTTTTCATACAAACCTATTTGCATTCATCTAACAGTTAATTGTATAAGTACGGAAAATAAAATGCAGAAATTTAAAGACCTACAGCTATTACATCCCATAAGCAGTTACATAATAGAAGGGGAAAAAAGCGAGGAAATGTAAACTGCGACTATTACAAAATTATTCGTGTGACCTATACATTCGTTTTCTAGAATTTAAATAGCAAAAGAATAAATATAAATAAATTAAAGGACAAAATAAAAGAACTAAAATCCTAAGCAAGAAAATGTTTTTGGTTTTTTTTTATGAGAAAAAAGAATTTTGTGTTAATAATAATTGAAATTTGATTTAAGAAAATAAATAAATTATAAAACCCTAATTCTAAATAATTAATTAATTAAAAAAATTATTAAAAATAATTAATTAAAATTAATCTTAACAAAACAAAACAAAGAAACTAATTCTAATATTTTTGTGGTTTTGATTTTAATGATGTTTTTATGATTTTTTTAATAAAAGGAAATTAATTGAAAAAGAAAAATGTAAATTAAACAAAACAAAAAAATAGAAAAAAGAAAAGATGGGCTTGATGTAAGAAATTTGGGGGTGAGAATCTGAAATTTGCTAAGCCTAACTTGGTTGGACCCAAGAACTGCGTATGATTTGGTGTGCATAGCCCTTGAGGTTCCATGGTAGGAGCGCATCCTTGAGAAGCTGGATCTAAAACTCAAAATTTCTTGAGCCCTAACAATGGTATCATGCAATCTAAGCACTTAAACTCACGTGTGATACGTTAGATCCATTCCAAACATTGATAACAACATGGGCGTATGCATAGAATTATTTTAAATCATATAACGAAATAGTTTAGGATCCAGAATTTTTACCAAAAAACAGTGGGCTTGGTGTGGCTGTTCTAGCGTGTTTGAGAGTGATCTACGGATATGTATGGCCTCCTGGAACCTTCAGGAAGATGGTACGAGGCTTGAAATTGCTCGAATATGGCCGGAAATTGCTATACGAAATTGCAAATATCTTTGAAAAATGTGAAGAATTCGGGCAAGCTTTTGGAGAGCTTTTGGAAGAGAAATTTAGTATCCCTTCTTGCTTGGAATTTTATGTATTTATAGAGTTAGGAGAAAAGCAAGTATGGCAAGAAACAAAGCTTTCAAGGCCATGAGACAAAAATTCAACATATTGAAAGTTTACCATATTTAGATGATTCTTGCCATTCTTGATGTTGCATTAACCTGGAAAAAATTTGTTGGTCTTTGCACAAAATATTGGGCTCCATGATGGGTCAAGTCAAGCCCAAATGCGCTAGCCCATTATTTCTTATGTTTTATCTAAGTTATTTGATTTAATTCATATTTAAATGAATAAAAATTCAAATGAATAAAAATAAAAATCACAATAGTGCATGGTTAGGTTTAGAGGTCCTTGGGTATGTCATAAACATGTTTGAACCCTAAAAGTTAGGTCCATTAACCTAAAAATGCAATTTTGCTCAAAGTTGACTTCATGCATTTCTTGAAAATTGCCCAACTTGTGCACCTCATAACTTACTCAATTTTCATATTTTGAAGTTGATCTTGGACTTTATGGAAAGTATAAGATGTCCCCTTCAATATCTATGTTGATCATTTTTGCTTTTGAAGACATCATCTTGATGTAAGTTTCCTTGACAAAAAGTGTCTTTTGTTGACTTTCGAAAATGACCTATAATGTATGAGATCATACCTTCCAAATGAAACATTTTTTGGACTTGAGAACAATAGAAAAGTTGTAGAGAATTGAATTTTATTCAAAATGGGCTTTGGTTAGGGAAAAGTTCATGAAGCATGTGAAATTTATGTCTGGTCAAAGTTCAGTTGACTTCTCGTAAGGAAACCCTAATTTGACAAATCTTGACTTTTGATGATTTGAGGACTTTCCTTGGGTAATCATGATCAACCCTTGATAAAATGATGAATATCACTTAAAAATATTGATGTTGACCAAAAATCTTTAAGTTTGACTGTATGTTGACCATAGTTGACTTTTTGATCAATATAGTTGATTTTCAAGCATTTGAGCCATTGATTGAGAAAACTTGTGATGTAGGGCTTAAAACTTGACATGAGCCTTGTTGAGGACCTATGAAGAAACACGGGAGCCACTTGTGACTTTTTCAGACCAAATTTCCTTGAGAAACTCCAAACCCTAGTTGTAGGCTTTTGGTCTAGGAGGTGCATCTTGACTAGTCAACCCTTGGGTGCCTTGACCATTTGAAGAGCCTTGAAAGAATGCTTTAAAGAAAAATGGGAGGGAAAATTTTAGGGTACAATATCAGCCCCTGTTCAATATTCTTAAACCTGAAGAGTTAGATTGGCATGTCTGCCATTCGTGACTTGAAGGTACAAGATGATTGAACACCTAAGTGTCCATAAATTTGCACTCGCCTGTGCAAGATGGTAACGTTGTTGGCTGGTTGTATCGGGAATGGGCTTATAAGATGTCATTCAGATAGATGACTGAGAGTCGTCGAAGATGGGCTTATAGATGCCATCCAAAGTAAATGTTGACTTTAAACTGGAAGAAGTATCAAAATAAACCTACAGTTGGTTTAATCTGAGCCAGAAAATGTTCCTTTTGTCTTTAACTGGAAGAAGTATCAAAATAAATCATTGGTCGATTTAATCTGATCCGGAAAAAGGTCTACTGAAAGAAGTATCAGAATAAATCATTGGTCGACTTAATCTGAGCCCGCAAAAGGTCTATAGGAAGAAGTATCAGAATAAATCTTTGGGTCGATTTAATCTGAGTCAGGCACTATCTATGCTTATTTTTATCTGGAAGAAGCATCAAAATAAATCTTTGGTTGATTTAATCTGAGCCAGAAAATGTCTTCAACTGGGAGAAGTATCAGAATATATCTACACCTGATCTAAGTTGAGCCAGAAGAATGTATATTGGAAGAAGTATCAGAATGAACCTTTGGTTGATTTATTCCGAGCCAGCGACTATCTATGACCGTCTTCAACTGGAAGAAGTATCAGAATAAATCTTTGGTTGATTTAATATGATCTAGAAAATGTCTTCATCTGGAAGAAGTATCAGAATAGATCTACACCTGATCTAAGCTGAGCCATAAGAATGTCCATTGGAAGGAGTATTAGAATAAATCATTGGTTGATTTAATCTGAGCCAACGACTATCTATGACCGTCTTCAACGGGAAAAAGTATCAGAATAAATCTTTGGTTAATTTAATCTGAGCCAAAAGAGGTCTCTGT